TCCGCCCTTCTGCCCCCAGCCTCCATCTTAGACCCCACACTCCCTCCACGGAAAAGTGCGGCCCTCGACCACTTTGCAAAGTCTTGGAGAGTCCCCCCACCCAAAATTATTGCCCACCCCTGCCCTAGGCAATGTATTCCAGTGTTTAACCACCCTGACAGGTAGGAAGTTTTCCCTAATGTCCAACCTCAACCTCCCCTGCTGCAGTTTCAGCCCCTTGCTGCTTGTCCTGTCCTCAGAGGCCAAGCTGAACAATTTTTCTCCCTCCTCCTTGTAACCCCCTTTTATATACTTGAAAACTGCTCTCATATCCCCTCTCAGTCTTCTCCTTTCCAAACTAAACAAGCCCAATTCCTTCAGCCTCCCCTCATCGCTCATGTTCTCTCGACCTTTAATCATTCTTGTTGCTCTTCTCTGGACCCTCCCCAATTTCTCCACATCTTTCCTGAAATGCGGCGCCCAGAACGGGACACAAGACTCCAACTGAGGCCTAACCAGCGCAGAGCAGAGCGGAAGAATGACTCCTTGTGTCTTGCTCACAGCACTCCTGTTAATGCCTCCCAGAATCATGTTTGCTTTTTTTGCCATATTGTCACACTGTTGACTCCTAGGGTATGTCTACACTGCCAGCCTAGTTCGAACTAGGGTGGCTAATGTAGGCAACCGAAGTTGCAAATGAAGCCCGGGATTTGAATTTCCCCAGCTTCATTTGCATCTTGCCAGGCGCCGCCAATTTTAAAGCCCCGCTAGTTCGGACTCCGTGCCCGCGGCTACTCACGGCACGAACTAGGTAGTTTGGACTAGGCTTCCTATTCCGAACTACCGTTACTCCTCCCAAATTTGACCCCTGCAGAACCCCACTTGTTATGCCCTTCCAGCATGACTGTGAACCATTGATAACTACTCTCTGGGAACGGTTATCCAGACTCTTACGCACCCACCTTACAGTAGCCCCGTCTAGGGTGTATTTCTCTAGCTTATTGCTAAGAAAGTCAGGTGAGAACAGTCTAGCCCCCGTCAGGCCCACATCCCCGACTGGCCTAGGCCTGAGACGTCAGCGCCCCGGCCCTGGGCTTGTCGCTCCCAGCCCAGCGTCTGCGCCGCCCGGAGACGGGAGCAGCTCCGCGCCACCCGCCTGCGGGGCCTGT